AGCTTTAAGAATGTTGAGAAAGGATTGAGAGAAATCTTTAAGTTTGAAAAGTTAAGAATGAATGAAAAAGTTAGAATTTTCAAGCTATTTATAAGCAAATAGCTAAAAGGCGGGTCTTCTGGACGCGTCCGTTTTCACCTTTCAAAAATGTGTTTCAGACAACCCACCGACTCCATAAATCTTTTTATGGTTGCCGGGTGGGGGCAACTGTGAATACCCAAATTTTTGAGGCTAAAGAGCCTAGTTTTTTTCCCCGGACTGCAAAGCAGTCGGCGGGCCGGAGCCATTCGAAAAGTCACCGGAAGTGTTATCAATATGGTAATTAAAAACGTCCGAGACGTCTGAGGAATGCGGAACTGTCCCCGAAATATTTTTTTGGAGGTCCCAGAAATCCCGAAAAAGCCTCCCGGAACGAAAAATTAGCAATCCTACCAGCCTCGGTGGCTCAAGGCGCCGGACACGGTGGCTCTGCCGCCTGCCCTGGCAACTCGGGCCGCCGGTCACAGCGGCTCAGGCCGCCGGATTCCAGCAGCCTAGGCCACCGATCCCGCGGCTTCGGCCCACTGAGCCCAGTGGCCGGCCATCGAAACAGTCCGTTTTTGCCCTATAAATAGTGGCCCCAGCACTCATGTTCAAAGGCAACTCCACTGTGTTTGACGACGCTCCTTCTCCCCTACCCCTTGCGATTCTTTTAAACTGCTTTCTGCATTTTAGTTTAGCTTTATTGCTTTCTTGCTTTGTAATTGGTCACTAAATTAAATTAATTAATATCCCTTAACGAGGACTTAACCCTGGAGTTTAAGAAGTGGCCGCGATTAAATCAGGTACCATGAACTAAATTCTGCCTATATTTTAGCACTTCATGCCATGCTTCTCTTTCTACTCCTAATTCGTACAACTACATAATATGGCATCACGTCAATTATTTTGGCAACTTAAATTGGCCTAATTAATTAAGTTTAGGCTAAGATGCCCGGTTAATCAAATAATCGTGGTAATTCATGCCAAACTCCGACAATATTGGCTAAAGCCTAGTTAACAATAGCTATGGTGATCGCCTTTATTTCGAAACCAATTCGGCCTTAAGTCCAATAATCAATAATTGTGGCTAAGTAGCTTAATTAAAAACGTTTCTTTGGCAATAAATGACTTACATTGCATTCAATTGATCTCTTTTGCAAAGAAACTGCCTATAAGTAGATTAAATCGTTTTTTTCAGTGACAAATCACTTAAACAAAGTTTGGCTAAAAAGCCTTCAAATAATTACTTTTGGCAAATAAATTGGCCTTAAATCAATTAATTTTGGCGACAATCCCCAATCAACACCTTTTGCAACCTAATTGCCTAAATCAACTCATTTTGGCTAAAAGCCTTCAAATAATTCAAATTTTGGGCGAACAACGCCTAAGTCACATCAAATTTTTTGGGCAACAATTGCCTAAAATCAAACTTGTTGGCTAAAAGCCCTTAAAATCAACACTTTTGAGCAAACAAATGCCCTAAAAATCAATCAATTTTTTCAGGCAAAATGCCTAAACAAAATTTGCGACAAGCATACACACTCATCGCATAAAGCATACCCATTCAAAAGCCCTTTTAAAAAAGGCCTATCAAAAACTATATGACTTTGATCTTCCATTCAAACGCGAAGTATAGGCACGTTCGGGATTTACCCCGAGCGGCAAAGTCGAAATCGACTTAAACACTTTATTGGTCCAATTAACATCAATTATCTAATGCAAAGCATTCATTCCATAGGTTAGTTCATCAAGCAAATGACATATCTGGATCACCTCGGTTCGAAGACCATGCCTTAAACATTTGGGTAATTAATCTAGTAAATTAGGTTAATTAAATTGGATCACTTAGGGTTTTCCTAGTTTTACCCTAAAATAATTAAACAAGTGGCGACTCCATACATTCACGTGCATTTCCTACCCCTTAGCACATGCATTCCCGTATGCCGGTTGATATTTTGGAAGGGTTCACAAATACACCATACATATTCCAAAAGAAGTCAATAATCAATAGCTACATCAGTTAGCACACTATCTACATCAAATAGAACGATCCTCTCTAGTTCATTTTTTCCTTTCCTTTTCCTGAGATAGCACAATAAGCAACTTATGCTAATCATTTTGCCTTAGTGGTGTACTATTATAAAAAAACACAAATTTATCAAATCAAACTCTTTTATAGGAAAATAATGAATCATATTTCATAAATGCACCATTTAAAGGAAAATAAGAAAAAAAAAAAACAAATACCATTTTAAAATCATAAATTCATAATTAGTCAATTTCACAGCTTCTATAGAGTCAATCCGAGGGCCATCATTGTCTATATGTGCACATCTACGACCTACTATCTACAACCTCAACCTGTGATATGATTTCAACGGGAGAGGGAGCAATCTTACAAACCTCAACAATGGAGGAGAATTTCATATAATCATATATCATCTAGTGATGAATCCATGTTACAATCGATCGTAATATTCATCTTCAACAAATGAAGTGATTTTTCGGGGTAATAACCATGTCTATATCAGTTTAAAAACTTTAAACCATTCCATTTTATGTAAGAATATTCAAATCACAATGGACAACATTTCATCTCACAAACACTAGTAAAAAACCATTCAATCATGGCCACCCCTCATACCTATAGGTATCAATTGGCAACATCCTCGTCTTTCAAGGTAAAGAATCATAAAATTCATTTACATATGTCATTAGGTTCGTATGCTTTCAAAACAATCTTTTTCTTCCTTTAAAAAACTTATGAAATTCACTAATTTTTTTTTTTTATAGTTATAATTCATAAAGCAAATCCATGAAAATATTCTGCAAATCAATTTCATTTTGTTTTAAATAAAAGTAGGAAAGGAATAAGTACACTAACCCTGAAGCTAGAAGGCTCCCCTAAGCCCTTTTTTCGTCTAGCAACCACCCTCTTCCAACTCCCTTTCTCTCAGAAGCTGTAGCAGAGATTAATACTCACATTAACTTCATACTACACAATGTAACCACTGCATTCTATAGGAAATGCAAAATTAAGCATTAGAATGTAGTGTCCCATGCTTTTTCTTTCATTTCACTATGCTTGTCCAGTGTCATATACCTTAGTTTTAAGCATGAACACTTCATATCCAACATTACCACACGCTAGAAAACTAATAATAACATTAAAACATAGAAAAGTCAATGGCATGCTAAATTTCATTAAATATTTTATTAGATGCAAGAATTTCAAGCATTTGAGTAAGCTTCGCATTCCATTGACTATATCTTGAATCCTTCATAATTCGTTTGCCCTGAAATTTTCAGCAATGCCCCAACACCTATAGTACTGCCCCTGTAAAAAATTTCAATAATTTTTAAAGCTTATTTGCATTGTCAAATGACATATTATAGGAATCTGAAATTCTCGTTTTTCTCATGCTGACCAGCCTGCATTGATTTAATTAAAACTCCATTTCCTTTTATCCAATGCCTTCTCCTTTTAACGTGACCTCACACCTCAACATTGCACCTATCTTGCATATATATCTACGAAATTCATGCAATCCCAACTCTTCGTGAATATACGTTTAATCAATAATCATAATATAAGATATATCAGAATCCTAGTTCATGAAATATCAATTACGAACTCAACACTCACCACTTGGTGAATTATGCAAATATAGACTTTGAATTCATGCATAATCTAATTTCAATCATCTAATCCCCTTAAAATCCACATTCTAATCTAAATGTAAAACTCCTTTTGGTTCTTTCATTTGTTATGAAGAAATATCTTTTTTTTTTTTTTTTCCGTAATTAATCCATAGAAAAAGGGAGGAAGTGAAGATAATTAACCTTTTCTTAAGAATTACTTGAAAATTCCTTGATTTTCACCTCCTTTTTGCTTGGTTCTAAATCAAAACTCTCCTCCTCTCTTCTTGATCGACTTGGACAGCAAAAATGGGTGGAAAATGGCGTGGTTATCTCCACCTCTTCATAAAAATATATAATAAACATTATTAAAAATTCCTTCCATGTCCTTTAAATGAAAATGTCCTTTAAATGCACTATAATCCTCCCTTTTGTTTTCCCTTCATCCTTTCGCACTCTAATCTTTTTAATCACTTTACTTTAGTCCTATTAGGTATCAACTATCACCAAGGGTGTATTTAATATTATAAACCCCACTTAAGAAAAGTCATACTGAAAATTTAACCGTTTTTTCGGGCTTTCCGGGTAAAATCATGCTTTACCGAGAAGTTATTTCCTCTTTAATTTTTCATTGTTGAAATTTCCTTTAATCTTTCAAATTGATTTGTGATCACATTAATTAACATTTAATTAAATATTAACTATCCTCAATAATATATATGTGTTTCCCATTATTCTAGGTTTTCCTTTATTCGGATAACCGAATTCATCGAAAAAGCTAGAATAGCAAGAACTACAAAGTTTGAAGGATAATTACCATGTAGGACTTTGCTCTCTTCGGACACGTCCTTCTTTTGAATGGTCTTGATGCTCCGCATATCCAGCTCTACCAGTCATCATCCGAACAATCTCCACCATGGCCGTCTGCCATCAATGCTCACAAGGTCGGAAAAAGTATAACCGTCTGACCCTGCACTCTACCGAGGTGCTCTAACTAGCTTTCCTCTACCTGAACCTCTAAACCACCACCGACAGAACTAGCCAGCGAATGAATGTCCGCTGGCACGTTAACCCCTAGCTGTGCCCTTGGCTAAACGGGAGGGCCTAGGACCAGCTGAAGTACTAGCACTCTGAATTCTCTTGCTCTCCGGCTGGTATGTATTTGGGGTGACTCTGAGTCTAGTCTCTCTTTTGCTGAGACTGCTGGCGTCTGGTATGCTGAACTTTGGCCTGAATCCGCTCTATCTCCGCTCTATCTCCTGAGCTGCCTCTACCAAAGCTGAGAACTCTCTGAATCTAGAAGCTACCACTCCCATCTGAATCTCATCATTCAGGCCTTCCTATAACTTTTTACACCTCTCTGCCTCTGTAGACACTATCCGATCACCATACCTGCTGAGTCTGGTGAATTCTCTTTCAAATTCTGCAACTGATATTCTGTTCTGCCTAAGGTATAAGAATTCCTTCCTTCTAGCATCAAGGTAAGCCTCTGTAATGAACTTTTTCTTGAATTCATCCAAAATGAATTCATCCAAAAAGAATTGCCAGGTACACTGCTCTGCTGGTACTCTCTGCTGAACAGTACTCCACCATGTGTATGCCTCGTCTATCAATAATGACATGGCATAAATCAAACGGTCCTCTGGTGTACACTGTAACTGCTCTAGGACTCTCAAAGTACCATCTAACCAATACTCAGCTATCTCTGGAGTGTCATCCTTGCTAGCTCTAAATTCTTTCGCACCGTATTTTCTAATCTTTTCTAGTGGTGGCTTTCTTTCTCTGTCTACTACCACTGGAGCCTGAGGTACCACCCCTGCAATCTGTCTAAAGGTATCCGCAAGTTGTTTTAACAGTACCTCCTACTCTGGTGCAACTGGCACCTCACGCTCCACTACCTTAGAGGCGTGTGACTCGCTCTCACCTTCCTGTGACATCCTCCTAGAAGAATAACAACTGCTTAGTTCATCAGGGTAGTCATGTACACTATAATGACATATGCATTCAATCCCGGGGAACTAAACTAGGCTCTGATACCAAAATTTGTAACATCCCTTCCCGGTCCACCCTTGAACCTGAATGAACCGAGCCGAGACGCTACAATCTGGTTGAACCTATGTCCTGTCATGCTGATATCATCCTATATGCTAAAAATTATGTCATACTGTTGCTTTATACATCATTTATATACAGACATTTACTTAATAGTTATAAGACATTACACTATTTTCTAAAATGAAATGGGCCTAACTATGTGCCCTGTACATGCCACAGAACCAAAATATCAAAAACAGAACCAACAAAATATCAAAATGAGTAGTTACCCTGAAGACTGGGTCTTCAAAAGATGAACTGCAGCAGTTGGAAAGATGACTCTCTACGGTCCAAACCCAAAACCTATGAGTTAAAACAGGTAACTCGCTAAGTAAATAGAGCTCAGTAGATATCTCAACTTAATAAGAATTAAATAAATAATCATGTACGCACACATATCATTATACTTTCATGGTCTTACCTATTGTTTATTATGCTATATGAATTAAGCAATTTTTATTAACATCGTATAATTTAAATCTCATAACTGTATGGCTCCATAAGGTTACAGTGAAACCGAAGTGATAAGAAGGACTGTATGAAACTGGATGAATACTGTATGGCTGGGCTGATATAACCCGTATATGAATCATATCCACTCAACGACCTGTAGACGGAGTACCAAACTGTATGGGGCGCAGATCTGCTATCCTATGTCGCGACATAGCCTTATCTACGTGGTTTCTACGTAATCTCAATGGAGCATATTATCTGTATTTCAATAATACAAGAAACATAGTAAATTATTCATAAAATGCATACACCATGCTGTTTACCTGCATGCTGTCTCATTCTATACGTTGCTAACCTGTTTCATGCTCTAAGAGCATTTCATAGACAACTACAAGTAATATTGAATGGAATGAGTAATAATGCAAACAATTGGTAACTTGTAAAGGAACTTGCATGAAATTAATCTAACTGTTGCACCCGCGACGCAACTCTTACTACTCTTTATGTCACTTAAATTAGACCATTCAGATTAAGGAAATTTTTTCTTTTAATTTAAGTACTAATCTTAGGCTCAATGAATCTACATATGCATTCCAACATCATTTCTAATGTAGCTTTAAAATCTGCCGGGGCAGCTTGTACATGTTTCACAAATTCTAGCATAACTCTTTCTTCTTATGTCAAATTTAGGTCATTCTAAATTCTATGGTTAGCTAACACATTAGGGTACAAATATGTCTTTTATCGCCTCTTTGAAATCTGTTGGTAAAGTAGTCAAATATTGAATTAAAGTAGCAACTTCCAGTCTGCCCAGCTGTTGGTTTCCAGCCTGCACAGTTTGTACCATTTTGGTCAACCATTTTGGTCATATCTTCTCAATTTATGAAGGCCAATTTAGGGTGATTCTAAAATGAATAATGGTTAGCTTAACAGATTAGGGTATAAAATATTTCTTGTAATGACCTCTCCTGAAAATCATGTTGAATTAAAAGATTTGCATCAGGGCAAAAGATTATACTTTTGCCCCCAGTCCGGGATTCCGACCTAGGACCAAAAATATTAGCTTTTTAGGCATATCTTTTCAATATTTATTGTCAAGATTTGGGTTATTAATTTTTTTGCAAAAATTTAGCAAGAATTTAGGCCAGAGAAAAAAAATTTTGAGCCTGAATTCTCAGGTATACCTTTCTTGATGCAGTGATTGAAAGAAGACTTACCTGAGGGTAATCTAGGTAATTTGATGCTCCTGCCCCCTGTGCGGTGAGTAGACAAAATTACTGAAGGCTTAATCAACATTCTCAGAACCTATACTGCTCAACAATCAACAACATATCTTATCACTATCATCAACACTACACATACTCTCATGCAAGAAAAATTTGTTAAAATAAAAGAGATATCAAAACCTCAACTCAAAAAGGCTTTAAACTTCTTCTTAAGCTTCCTTTTTCTTCTCAACTTTGAGCTCACATCTCTTATACACATAATAACATCTAATTAATCATCCAAAATCCTCACTAAATTATGGAAATTCCAAGAAATTCAACTATTTGGATAGAGTTATAGTTGAATTGAATGCTGAAGGTTGAATAATTTAAGGTAGAAAAAATGAAGGATGATTTTAGGAGAAGATAAATGAAGGAAGATTTAGGAGAAGATGGAGAAGGTAAAGTGAATGGAATTTTCGAGTAACCTCTAAATATATCTTCTAGTATGTTAAAAAATTACCAAATAGTACCTAAATTGTCAATATTGTACCATTTAATACCTAAACTTTATACTTTATTTCAATTAGGTCCTAATCCTTATACTTTTATTTCAATTAGGTCAAATTCTTTTATTTATTTAATTTCAATCCCATTCTACCCCACTTTGGAAACTAATGGCTCGAACTGGGTTCTGGTTCATTCCGACTCGACTCGACTCGCTAAATGCAACGACTCGATTCAGTAGGATGTCACACAGATGGCTAGGCAATGTACGTCGTTTCCACTTATTCTAGCTGAGACCTTCACTTTGCAGGGAGATCATGCTCGGGACTCTAGCTCGATTCTTGGTTCGATGGGGAGCTCGCTTCTGCTATTGGTAAATGCATTTTCATTTTCCTTTTGTTTATTTTTCTTTTTCTTTTTCTTTTTTTATCTAAACTCAAAAAGGAAGAAATCCCAGGTCCTCTCCTCAGCACTGATTGCCCGAGACACAGTCTCCCACCATTGATAAGCCTCTTCCTTCAATAAGGAAGTGGCACACACTAAACTATCCTAAGGGGAACACTGCATCTGCTCTAATATCCTCTCCAAAGACCGAAGCCAATACTCCGCTGTGGAAGCTACATCATCTTTCTTACCCATGAACTCAACAACACCATACTTCCTCAATTTCTCTATAGGAGGACGAACTGGAACGGAGGATGGAGCGACCGAAGTCTGGGGAACAACTCCCACTACTTGCCTAAAAGCAGCAACTAACTGCTGAATAAGTATATCCTGGTTAAGCCCCGAGAACCTGCAGCAGCCTACCCCACCCTCGAGGCACGCTACGCATCAGAACCTAAGACACGACGAGGGGCACCATTAGCAGGAATACCGCCATAAAAAGAGGCATAACTATCCACCTCCTCATCAGAAGGGTGCTGAGACATCAGTCGACTCCTATAAAGACCAAACGGTTACCAGACCAATATGACATGTATTAAACTTAAATTACTCATACTCTCACTTCAAAGCAGATAAATCCCTATATATATATAGTCCTAGAATTGCCTAAACCTATGCTCTGATAACACTAAATGAAACACCCACCGCCCAGTCCCGAGAGACCAGACGACGGATGCCACATTCAGCGCCGGAGGCACCATCCTAGCTAACATATAAATCATATTATCAGGTTATGAATTAGAAGTGATTTAGTATTCACAAGTTTAGGAAGCAATATATTTTAGGAAGCCAATATATATATATATATATATATATATATATAATATTTATATTATATATATATATATATATAATAATATATATATATATATATATTATATATTTTTGAAAATGATTTCTGAAAATCTTACAGAAAAATTGCAAGAGTTTCCCCTAAAACTTGAGCTTGCCAAATATGTGAGTAACACTCCCAAATTCAAACTCCAAACCTCCTTCAAACTCTAATAACCAGCACAACACAACAACACTTTTATAAATTCATAACCATGTAATTCCTCATTAGCATCATAATAATCATCAAAATAAATTCATTCATTTATATATCAAGTCCTAATAATCCAACCATACCAACTAACTTAGAAGATATTTTATATCCAATCATTCAATAAGTCCCGCAACTCCAGATATGTACACTAAAATAATTTATAATAACATATAATAACATGCTTAAGTTATAATTCGAATAACATAATCTCCAAATAGATAATAATTATACATGCCATAATTCTTAATTATATAAAACTAATCCTACCACTGCAAAAATAATCTCTTCTACTCTGATGCTACTCCTCTGGTCTTTGAGCAGTAACCACGGTCTTCAACCTACACGTGATAAAAATCAACGCGCTAAGTATAAAACTCAGTGGTGCTCATAAAATAAATGCTCACTAATGTTGCGACGGTAACATACTTGAAACAAAAAGGAATTTTAAAAGAGTTTCATTTTCTATAATAATAAAAGTACTTGGATAACAAAGCATAATTTCACATTCTTAGCACATAATTTCATATCACATCATACATTCATTACTCTTGATGTTTATTTCATTCCTTAGACATGCTTTTCATTTTAATTAATAACATAGTCACACATATTCTAAAAATAAAGATCATAAGATAAACTAAGATCAAATATATATAACATAACCTTTTTAATTAATTTAATTTCTTGAAAATATTTTTCTTAAGAGGCTCTCATACACTTAGGAGAAACACTTAGGAGAAAAGGGACGATATAGATTTCATAACTTATTCGATACGTGCCTATGTGCCAATAAGCATCATAGGGGCTTTATTCGAAGAGCCTATCATTTACCATAATGGAGCCGCGCCGCTCTAAACATAAGGCAGCCCACTGTGCTAGCAGTATTGATTACTAGTGTGCGCATCATCATAATGGCAACTCAATATGCCGACATGCTCATCTACATAATAAAAATCAACACATCAAATTTCACAACCTAAAGTATTATTTAGAGCCAAAAACAATAATTCTTCCTTTTTAATCTCGTTACAATTTTCTCATAAAATTCATTTCCTTTTTCTTGCTTATCATAATGAAAGCTTAGTTTAGGACTCAAGTAATTCATGAAAATTACATGCTTAAGCATATTAACTTAACATAGAAAATTCTTACCATAAAAAAAATCACTTTTATCATTTAAAACATATAT